ATTGATGTTAGCATGTCAATGTGCACAATAAAAATATGCCATGTACCTATAAATTCATCATCATCTAAGTCTTGTCCCAACTATATGGGGTTGGCTACATGAATCCTGTTTATCCATTATATTCTGTTCAGTGCCATACCCATTATTAAATTATAGTCGTTTAATCATTTCTTATTACTTTCACAGTTTCACCCAAGTCCTTTTGGTCTACCCTTAGCTCTGCTAGCCCCTTCAATTTGTAGATAGTCTTCTATGCATGTGACCAAACCATCTCAATTTACTTTCTCATTTCATCACCTACTAGAGCCACTCCTAGGTTCCTTCATATGACTTGATTTCTAACCCTCTCCTTTCTTGTTTTACAACTCATCCATCTAAGCATTCGCATTTTTGCCACTCACTTTTTGGACATCTTGTTTCTTAACTTCCCAACACTCTGCTCCATATACAGCATAGCTGGCCTCACAATTGTTTCATAAAATTTTCCTTTTAATCGAAGTGTTATTTGCCTATCACACAAGACCCAGATGCACTGCTCCATTTTGCCCATCCTGCTCTAATTCTATGGACAACAACCTCCTCAAGCTCTCCTTTGTTTTGAATTATTGAACCAAGGTAAAGGAAGAAGTCACATTGAATTGTCTTTTGGTCTCCAATCCCAAGTGTACCCTGGTTTGCACTTCTATTATTGTTAAATTTCATCATCATCATCATCATCACCAATGCTTTATTCCAACCGATTATTGTTAAATTTACATTTAATCCTTCATTAGTTTCATTAATTAATACCATATCAGTAGCAAACATAAGGCAAGACAATTTTGCATTTAATACTTAGCAAGTTTCATTAATTAATATTATGTCATTAGCAAATATAAGGCACCATGGAACCTCTTAAATTCAATTAATTAATTTATGATAGTGAAAATAAATAAGGGCTAAGTGCTGAACTTTGGTGAAGACCCATTGTAACTGTAAAATCTGACGTCTCTCCCATAGGTATTCCAACATTGATTATTGCACCCTCATACAAATCCCCAATTAGGCCCACATACCTATTTGGATTCCTTTTTTTCCAAAACCTATCATATTACCTCTCTAGGGACTCTATCATATACTTCCCCCACGTACCTATTTTGCATTGCGGGACCTCCCTCTTCAGCAAGCAAATTTTACCTGGTCAAACTTCCAAGAAAACCCTACCAATTGTCGATTGGATAGGTTCCTCTTTACAGTGGATTGGGAAGTTGAATGGGGGATTTTAGGTGTTACAGCATTGCCGAGACCTATTTCAGATCATTGCCCAATCAGGTTGTCTCAAGAAAGACTAGATGGAGGCCCGTGCCCTTTTAGGTTTGAAATCATGTGGTTACTTCATCCAGAGTTTCTAGCTAAGGTAAAAGAATGGTGGGAAGTGGACCAAGTGGAATTCCGATGGAAGGGGTATAGGT